CAGTCAGGTCATGTGCTGGAAGCAACCAATCAATGTGTCTTTCTCACATCAATATTTCTCTCTCCCCCTCCCTTCCATTCTCTCTGAAAATCAATGGGAAAAAATATCCTTGGGTGAGGATTAACCAAAAAAAAAGAAGAAAAAGATTTCATATATAAACTTTGCTTTATTAATTTTTTCAGGAGCCCATCAACACCAAAAAATTTAGTTTTCTCCAGCTTCTTTATCCAAGAGAGGACAATCAAACCTAGTGGACGCAGCTTCCTGGAAGTTGATAAATCAGGTATTCAAGGAACCAAAAAAAGTGACTTGCTAACGCAGCCAGAGTGGCTCAGTTGGTTGGGTGCAATCCTGTGCACTGAAAGGTTGCCAGTTTGATGACCAGTCAGGGCACTTACCTGGGCTGTGGGTTCGACCCCTGGTCAGTTTCTCTGTAGAATCTGTATCTCTGTCAGGGCACATATGTAAGGCAACCAACAAATGTTTCTCTCTCACATCGATGTACTGTGTCTCTCTCTCCCCCTTCCTCTCTCTATGCATGTCCTAAGGCAGTGATGGCGAACCTTTTGAGCTCGGCCTGTCAGCATTTTGAAAAACCCTAACTTAACTCTGGTGCCGTGTCACATATGGAAATTTTTTGATATTTGCAACCATAGTAAAACAAAGACTTATATTTTTGATATTTATTTTATATATTTAAATGCCATTTAACAAAGAAAAATCAACCAAAGAAATGAGTTCGTGTGTCACCTCTGACACGCGTGTCATAGGTTCGCCATCACTGTCCTAAGGTGAAGATTAAGAAAAAAAGTGACGCCGAAACCGGTTTGGCTCAGTGGATAGAGCGTCGGCCTGCGGACTGAAAGGTCCCAGGTTCGATTCCGGTCAAGGGCATGTACCTGGGTTGCGGGCACATCCCCAGTGGGAGATGTGCAGGAGGCAGCTGATCGATGTTTCTCTCTCACCGATGTTTCTAACTCTCTATCTCTCTCCCTTCCTCTCTGTGAAAAATCAATAAAATATATTTAAAAGAAAAGAAAAGAAAAGAAAAAAAGTGACTTGCTAAAAGCTACCAGTGGTGGAGCCAAAACCTACCTTAAACTAAGAGTGGCATCCCAAAAGACAGGTTTTAGAAATATAAGAATAAGCCCTAACCGGTTTGGCTCAATGGATAGAGCGTTGGCCTGCGGACTGAAGGGTCCCAGGTTCGATTCCGGTCAAGGGCATGTACCTTGGTTGCGGGCACATCCCCAGTAGGGGGTGTGCAGGAAGCAGCTGATCGATGTTTCTCTCTCATTGATGTTTCTAACTCTTTATCCTTCTCCCTTCCTCTCTGTAAAAAATCAGTAAAATATTTTTTAAAAAAAAGAAATATAAGAACAATCTATAATCCACTGCCTAGCTTTTGTTTGTTTTTTTTCATGAATTTCAGATAAACAACCAAAAATTAATATTGGTTAATATACTTTAAAAAATATGTTTTGATTTTTTTTTTTTTTAGAGAAAGAGAGAGGAAAACATCAGTGAGAGAGAAACATTGATCAGCTGCCTCCTGCACCACCCCTCCTGGGAGCAAGCCCACAACCTAGGCATGTGCCTTGACCAGAATCAAACCAGTGACCTCTTGGTACATGGGATGGCACACACAGCTGAGTCACACCGGCTGGCTCTACTGCCCATCTTAATCCTGACATAGTGCTGGGAGAGCTAACCGATACGACAGACTACTTCGCATGCGATTTGGTGAATTTCATACAGTAGGGGAACTAAATGATGTAGCTCTTCAGCAGAAAGAGCTCAGCAACCTACAGAGAACCGTGCCATTAGCACGGCTCTGCTCTGGCAAAGAGGACCCTGACAGGAAGAACATGGGGTGAAAGAAAATGAACCCCAAAGCTACAGAGGGATCGCTTTAGAATATCTGTATGGATCTTATGGAAAGGGGAGTGGCTGTATACTGACATTAATTCAGATATCTTTCTCAACACCGGGTGCCTTACCAAGAAAATGATTACCAAGGAGAGAGCAAAATGTAGTGAGAAGAATCTGGGACAGAATCTGATCTACGGGAGCCAAGCTCTGTGTCCTGCTGTGTGTCCTTGGGTCGCTGCTCTACTCTCCAAACCTGCTTTCTCATCTGTTAGGTGGAGACAAGAATGGTTCTAGTCCCCTCTTGAAGTTGTGGGGTTAAATAACAAACATCGAAGTCTCTTATAACCTCTCTAGCTAACAGTGAGCATCACGTCCATACTCCAACTATCAACTGTCATACTGAGACAGGCCAGGAAGCCCGGACAAGTGGAATAGGGAACAGACAGCTGAACAAACTGAAGAGCAATTTACAGCAGAAACAGAAGGTCGCCTCCCTAGAGATAACATCTAGGTCTCAGTTATATTTCAGCTCCAGACCCAGAAAAGCAGCAAAAACGGGGGTGGGGGGTGGGGGGGGGCACCAGGACCAGCTGCAATGATGAACAGGCGCCCTGCCTGACACTGACCCATCAGTGGAGACCCGACCCTGAAGGAGCACACCCAGAAAAGCGATGAATATTCTGCTGAATATTCTCCCTCCCTAAGATTCCTGCCTATGAGAGAGATAAACGGACCCAGAGCCAGGAGCCCTCAGGCTGCCACTCCCGCCCTCCCTCCCCCTTCTTGCAACCAGGGCAGCAGCAGTTCATCCGGACAAACCCCCTGAACCTCCCCAAGGCCCCCTTTTCTCTGACTTCTTTGTGAGCCAAGCAGCCCGGCCTAGGCTCATTGCCCCAGCCCCTCCTTGTTTCACTGTTCCCGCTTTAATAAACGTCCTTAAAATCCACCTGCACTGTTGCGAAATTTTTCCTGCACTAAGTCAAGAACCCACACACTCTCAGCTGGCCCTGCCAGTAACAATATGTCGTGGCCAACGAGGAAAAGCTATCCCCGTGTATCAAAACTAGGTCCACCTGAGCGAAAGAACGAGAAAAAATTTTCACTTCTAAGGTCTCTATTCTGGACTCTTTGGTCCTAAGCAAGAGCCATGTGAAGTAACAGGGGACAGCAATCCTGAGTGACGAAGGGGCACGCTCCGCTCACCTTCTCCCGGCACTCCTCACTGATGATCTTGCTGTTATCCAGGATATCTGCAAAAACACAAAGCTCCCTTCACTCGCCCCTTAGGAGCCACCGTCCTGTCAACCCAACGAAGCAAGCTAGTGCGTGACTTACTGTAGGAAGAAGGGCATGGCTTTCCATTATAGGCAAACCTGCTCAAGGTCCTGTCAAAATCAGAAATGACCTAAAATGCAAAAGAGAGATGATGCCTAGATGGGCTCCTTCTGGTGCGGCCCTGCGTCAGCCTGGAGGAGGAGGACGGAAGTCCCAGGGCTCAGCGTCCAGACTATGGGCAAAGCGGGTGTGTGTGTGTGTGTGTGTGTGTGGACTAATCCCAGGGGGTCCAGCGCTAACCCTGGGGAGGCCCACCCTGGGGGTGGGGAGCTGGGGGGGGGGCGGTGCTGAAGAATCACGATCCCTTTGGCTCTTTCAATAGCACCCATCTCAGTGCCCTAGGCCCTTCCTTTAGGACCCATCTCCACATCTGCAATGTCCTGGGGAGCCCGCTGGGCTGGGCTGGGGTGGAGAAGGAGCCCCAGGGCCGCCTGTGGGTGCCTTCTGTCTCATCGGAGGAAGCAGCACGACCTTACAGAGAATTGTAGGGCGGGTGGGATCTTCCCCAAACAGGCGAACCAACCGGGTCATTTCTAGGGGCTGAGGGCTTGCAGGTGCCGCAACCACGCGGGAAGGCACACGGGCAGGACACCGCCCCGCCCC